ATGTTAAGTAATGCATCTTTGCCTATATCATTGTGGATGTATGCTCTTAGGACTGCTGTATATTTGTTAAACCGGGTTCCTAGTAAGGCAGTTCCCAAAACACCATTTGAACTGTGGACAGGAAGGAAACCTAGTTTAAGGCACTTGCATGTTTGGGGTTGCCCAGCAGAAATAAGAATTTATAATCTGCATGAAAAGAAGTTGGATTTTAAAACGATTAGTGGTTACTTTATTGGTTACCCAGAAAAATCCAAAGGATATAGGTTTTACTGTCCTAATCATAGTACGAGAATTGTTGAAACCGGCAATGCCAGATTCATTGAAAGTGGTGAAATCAGTGGGAGCGAAAAACCTAAAGAATTGGTCATTAATGAAGTTAGGGTGCAGATTCCTACACCTATAATTTCTAAGCAAGTTGTTGTTCCTACACATGTTGAACCGTTAGACAATGTTGAACAACAAATTAATGACCATCCACTCCAGAATGAGATTATCACAAATGAACATGTAGTGGAAGAACCACAAGAAATAGCATTAAGGAGATCTCAAAGAGAACGGAAAAGTGCTATTTCAGATGATTATGTGGTATATCTACAAGAGTCTGACGTTGATATAGGAATAAATAAAGATCCGGTTTCGTTTTCACAAGCCGTTAACTGTATTGATTCTAGTAAATGGATTGATGCCATGAGTGATGAGTTAAAATCAATGGACAAAATGAAGTCTGGGATCTTGTTGAATTGCCTAAAGGTTGTAAGAGAGTTGGGTGTAAGTGGGTTTTTAAGACCAAACGCGACTCTAATGGCAATATAGAACGATATAAAGCCAGATTGGTGGCCAAAGGTTTTACTCAGAAAGAAGGCGTTGATTACAAAGAGACTTTCTCACCAGTTTCAAAGAAAAACTCTTTTAGAATCATTATGGCATTAGTAGCTCATTATGATTTAGAGTTATATCAAATGGATGTGAAAACAGCATTCTTGAATGGGAGTTTGGAAGAAGAAGTCTACATGGATCAACCTGAAGGCTTCGCATTAAAGGGAAAGGAACACATGGTCTGTAAACTAAAGAAGTCAATATACGGACTTAAACAAGCTTCACGACAATGGTATCTTAAGTTTGATAATATCATTGTATCCTTCGGTTTTAAAGCAAACATCGCTGATCGATGTACATATCTGAAGGTCAGTGGGAGCAAGTTTATCTTTCTAATTCTGTATGTTGATGACATTTTGCTTGCTAGTAGTGATCTTGGTCTATTACATGAGACCAAGCAGTTTCTCTCGGAGAACTTTGAAATGAAAGATATGGGTGAGGCGGCCTACGTGATAGGAATTGAAATATTCTGAGATAGATCACGTGGAGTGTTAGGCTTGTCTCAGAAAGCATATATTGAGAGAGTTCTAGAGAGATTCGGTATGGAAAAATGTTCATCCAGTGTTGCTCCAATTCAGAAAGGGGATAAGTTTAGCCTTATGCAATGCCCACAAAATGAATTGGAGTGTGCACAAATGGAAAGTATTCCTTATGCATCTATTGTAGGAAGTCTAATGTATGCACAAACTTGTACCAGACCAGACATCAGTTTTGCAGTTGGGATGTTAGGCAGATACCAAAGCAACCCAAGAATGGATCATTGGAAAGCTGCAAAGAAAGTGATGCGGTATTTGCAAGGAATGAAAGACTATATGCTCACGTATAGAAAATCTAATAACCTAGAAGTTATTGGTTATTCAGATTCAGATTTTGCTGGATGTTTTGATAGCAGAAGATCAACTCTTGGTTACTTGTTTCTCTTAGCTGGAGGAGCAATTTCTTGGAAGAGTACAAAGCAAGATGCTATTGCTATATCCACCATGGAAGCTGAATTTATAGCATGCTTTGAGGCTACAAATCATGGATTATGGTTACGGAATTTTATCTCAAGGCTTGGCGTTATTGATTCCATTGCTAAGCCGTTGAGAATTTTTTGTGACAATGCTGCCGCTGTCTTCTTCTCCAAGAATGACAAGTATTCTAATGGTGCTAAACACATGGATATAAAATACTTGACTCTTAAGGAGGAGGTTCAGAAACAAAGAGTGTCTATTGAGCACATAAGCACAATGCTTATGATCGCAGATCCCTTGACAAAGGGACTGGGGCCGAAGGCATTTAATGATCATGTTGAAAGAATGGGTCTTGGTCGTAGTCCATGATGATTGTCATTTTTTATTTTGTTTATGAGAATTTGTTTAATGACAATATTGTGCTTGACACTCTGAGCTCGATAATTGAACATGTTTCTAGTATTTCCTGTTTTCCATTATATGTATACATTTATGAGATTGGATGAATGATAACAGGAATGTCTCTGACAAAGACATTATCGGACCTATATATGTATTTCTCACTAACAGACTGTTTTAGGTAATTGCTAGTGCTGTGGTGCATGGAAGGGACTATGTCGCTCGTTGATGTACAACCGCCATGACTCACACTAGTGAATTACTTAAGATCAGTAATTATGTTAACCAATTGATAGTAAGGATTATTTCGAACTTTACTGCGCGCTCAATGTTTATTTGTTAAACCTGAAAAGGAACACGTGTCACTATGGACCAAGTGGGAGAATGTAAGAATATTTTAATATTCTAAAGTGGTCCATATGACACGGTCCATATGATATGTAGGGTTTAACTGATATTATCATTTATAAATAATCCTATTGGTCAAATTATGAGAAATGTTTTCTATCGAATTACTGTGATGGGTGGTAATTAATTATGGGCTTTAAATGGAAACGGGTCCTCTCTCTGCCTCACTTATATATATTGCATATACCCATCTAATATGCACTTGATAGAAAAAACATGATTAGGGTTTTCACATGCAAATAGAGGCAAGAGAGAGAACACCCTTTTTTTCCTCCGCCGCTGACAGAATCAGTTTGGGATTTCTTCGCGTTCGTTGTCATGGATCAAGGTACGCTTGATTGTTTAATGTATTTTCCGTAAATTATTTGTATGTGAAAATCATGAAGTTCGATGATCTTGGCTTAATTGTTTTATGATTTACAGGCAATTGACATTTTACATTCATCGAGTCCACATGTAATTCATAGAGATATTAAGTCTGCAAATGTTTTGATTGATCGTAGTTACAATGCCCGGTTGGGGTTTGTGAGAAACTGAGGCCTTAAGTGGAGTACTGGGTTTGCAACAACTAGTCTCCCTTCGAACATTTCAGATTTGGAGAACCGAGGATGTGTTGGAGACAGTGCTCAAGGAACAGCTACAGAGGTTTAAGGTTTGGGCGATGACGGTGAGGAAGGCGACGGGGTCGGCGTTGATGACATGTTTTAAATGAGTAATGATTGAACTGTGAACATTGACACGGTTCGGTCATCACTAAACTGCAAACGCATCTAAAACTAATTTTTTGTTTGCCAAGAATAATTGGGCAGCACACAGCACACCTGCAATACAAACGGCACTCAGATCCAGAATGACAAGCACACATCTTGCACCTGCAATACTAAGGAAGGAATCACAATAAACATCCTTCATCCACACACACTCAGATTGTACCTTATTTCTAACAATTATTTTATACAAGCACACATCTTGCGCCTAAATTTAGGTTTAGAAATCTCACTGTCCCAGTGAAAATGCATCACAACTTGTGCTTTATTGGGTGTTCTGGATTCGCTAGTTTTTCAGCATATGGTACCGGAAATTGAGATAAAGCAAAACATTAACACACCACAAGTCTGCAAAACCCATGAAATTGAAAAAAAAAATCTGTAGAACATAAGAGAAATTACCATAAGACTAACCTTGCAAACAAAGTCGTGGGTTGAGACTCCGACAGACAAAGGGAGAGGAAAGGGTCCAGACACATACAGACAGACAGAGGGATCAGGGATCGCAGAGCGGCAGAGGATGGGAAGGAGATGAGAGGGTCCAGGACTCCAAATAGGGGGGATGAGGGAATAAATGAGGGATCAAAGTTTATCTTTAAGGTTTCAGACTGAAGTCACAGATGGATTAGGGATGAGGGAATGAAAGGATGAAGGAATGAAGGAATGGGAGGGTCCAGCTCTGGACACAGACAGACAGAGGGATTAGGGATCACGGAGCGGCAGAGGTTGGGAAGGAGAGAAGATCAGATAGGAGGAGTGATGGAATGAGGGATCGATGTTTAGCTTTAAGGTTTCAGACTGAAGTCACTGAATGACGTCGTCGACCAATATGCATACAAACTTTCAGAACGACACACCGTTTTTAATACTAAATATAAATTGACGTCGTGTTTTACAACATTTTGGTTCGGTTCGGTTCGATTTTGTTTTCGAAACTCAGAAATTGAACCGAACCAATCATATTCGATTTGGTTCGGTTTTTTTTTTCAGTTCGGTTCGATTTTTTCGATTCCAGTTCGGTTTGATTTTCGATTTTTTTCAGTTTTTCGATTTTTTGAACCCACCCCTAGTCGGCATAGTTTGGATTAGGGTGGGTGAAGGTTGATCTGGGGAGAGAGAATGGATGTGGTGAAGAGGGAGGAGTCGGACAGATAAGGGAAGAAAAAAGGGAGGAGAAAAGACCCTGCGTAAAGTGGGAGCCTTGTGCATTGGGTACGACCTTTTTAGTCTAATCATTGTTCATGTGGGTGCCACGTCATCAATTAACGAATGTTCTGATGGAAAACTTAACATATGTATGAAAGTGTTCCAAAATTATGACTTTAGGTACTACTCTAGGATGAAAAAAACTTCATGTACCAAATATTAAAAACCAAAAAACTTCATGGTAGTAAATTGAGATTAACCCTTAAGAGAAACTTTAAAACGACACATTTTAAAGAGATACAAATATGATAAGACTAGCAATTACATACGAACATGATGGCATGCATGCATGCAGCTTATTCATATTTGCTAGCTCGGACGGTGTTCTACTTATATATATATGCATAGTTCTCATAAAGTAGTGTTTTGAGACTGGTGAAGGCATATGGCTTTAGTTTTCTCCACCACTATCTTTCCTCCAGCCTCTACCGCCTTCCCCCCCGCCACCTACCCAACCACCTTTCCCCCAACCATCCCAACCACCTCCTCCCCAGCCTCCACCTCCATAGTTACCACTTCCTCTGCCTCCCCAACCACCTTTCCCCCAACCATCCCAACCACCTCCTCCCCAGCCTCCACCTCCATAGTCACCACTTCCTCTGCCTCCCCAACCACCATAGCCGCCACCTCCATATCCATATCCATTAGGCTTTGTTTCAGTGCTATCATCGACTGTTTTTGACTCTGTTGCTGCGTTGTAAAAAATTAAGCTAGTCATTGTAAGTCTAAGATTTCATATTTTGACAATACTTAATTAGATAACAATGTTATATATGTTTGTGTATATACGTTCATAAATCAGTGTCAATACGCAAAGTAAAGGATACATATCTTGTATATTTTTATATACAGACACACCACACTATATAATTAACTAACCTTTGTTCTCATTTTTGGATGTCTCAGCTACACCAGTGGAAGAGACGAAAACTAGGGTGCCAAGCAGAAGGCCTAGCAAAATCAAAGACTTGAAATATTTCATGATTTCTCGAACTCGTATGCTGCTCAAAATTCTCACAAAGAAATATGGGAATGCTCTAAGCTTTGGCAATCACCTGTTTATATGCTTGAAGATACTACTGAACGACAAAATAAAGGGGTTCAGTATGACGAAAAAATCAGCTGGGTTACTATTTATATGAAGAAAAAAAAAAGCTTTGGCAATCACCTGTTTTTCTTCATTATGCATGTTTACGAGTGATGGTTCATACCTTTTCAAGCAAAAGACATTTGTGTACTTTGAGCTCAGCATATGAAGAAAAAATCAGCTGGGTAACTATTTATATGAAGAAAAAAATCAAATGGGTTACTATTCATATGAGGAAAAAAATAAGAAAAATCAAATGGGTTACTATTCATAAGAAGAAAAACATACGGGTTACTATTCATAAGAAGAAAAACAGACGGGTTACTATTCATGCATGGTATTTGCACTATTCATTTGAGGAAATTTTTGTAAAGTAAAAGGTGTTGCTACGGTAAACTTTTTACTATAAAATGACAACATACAGAGGAAGGAAAAGAGAGAACAATACACGTGTAACGACCCGTTCCTAATTATTACGGTTTTTATAATATTAATGTGTGAATATACGAAAATGCCCTTTAAGGCAAAAACGTTGACTTTTTTTCACCCCATTGTCGTGTCACGTAAGGTTTATTTCCTTGGCACATCCTTGTGGCACTTGTCGCTACGAGCGTGTGAGTGCAAGCGGAATCGGATTTGGAATTACAATGAACGTTTTATGGAACTACGAAGTAGAAGGGCAAAATAGTCAATTCACTATTCTAGATATTAGGGTTGGACATTTAATTATTTTAATATTATTCTGACCCATTGGACCCACTACACTACACTCCCCACTCTTCTTCTGCAACGTGGGTTCCTCACCCAATCTCTCGAACCCTTTTTCTTTCACTTTTCCATCTCCTTCTCTGGGTCTCTCCTCGAGAAACACTTACCCTCTCTCACTACCATTTCCTCCCTCCCCCGAGCACACCCACACACCATCGTGGTTTAACCTCCGGCGAACCACTAAAGCACCTATATCCTTCTTGCTCATTTCAAACGCTCTCGGAGTTGATACTGTGCTCAATGGACAGATGCAGCAAAGGCTGCCATCATTGCCATACTTCCCAGTGAAAGTTCATAACTTTCTCGATCAAGTAGGTCTCGTGAATCCTTCTCTCTCGTCTTTTCTCGTTGTTTATGAATGATTTTGAAGATTTAGGCCTATATTTATAGGATTTAAGGACTGAAACTATGGGAGGATATTTCCCCAGTTTTTTCAGCAAGACCCTAAGGTTTTGCAGGGCATTTTTGACCACTTTATGGCCATGGTTGTGAATCTAAGTGGTATAACTCGAATCTCTATCCTCCTAGCTTTATTTGGCACTTATATGGTGAACTTTGGTTGATAATCGAAACAAATCAAAGTTGGGGAAGTTTCCCGGCCAAAATTCTGGCTTTCCCCTTCGTTAGGTTCGGTGATCCACAAGCCAAATTAACTAGACCCGACCTGCCACCCAATCTAAGCCCAACCCATCATCCAGGCCTAAACCCAAATCCGAACTCAGGCCCAATCCTAAAGCCCTTGGTCCAGTAGCCCAAAACTGGATCCAACCCAGACCCATTTACCCTAACTTGGCTTAACCCATTAAACCAAGCCCAGACCCGAATCTGACCCGGATCCTATCCCAGTTTTATGGTCCGCGCATGGATCAGCACGTTGGTGCATGTCATGGCCGATGCGTGGAGCACACGCGCCTCCACCGGTGGTATTGTGCTCCGCCGTCGTCCATGGCAACGCCGACGACATTTTCGACGAACTTTTCGGTGACCCAACTAGGCTCGTGCGGTGGCGCGTGGCTTTCAAACCAAGGTCCCTTCTTAGGTTTCTCGACGTGCCGAATCTGAACACGAATCCGCTTTCTGTTTTCCCAAATTTCATCGTTTCAGTAAAGCTTTACTAAGTGGTCTCTAATTATGCTTAGGTGTATCGGTGGGAAATGACTCCATCCTCGCTAGCTCGAGCGGCTTCCCGGCAACAAAATATATGTGTGATGACTCAATCTAAACTTGCATGTTCTTATAAAATATTAGGCTTGCGTTCACAAAAAGCATAATTTCACGATTTTACATTTTATGCATTTTTATGATTTCTCGATACGATTTTGCAAAAGGTTATGAATTATTGGATTTTTGTATATGAAATTCTATGGATTATGAATAGGACTTACTTATGGTTTATGAATATGATTTATTATGGATTCATGAGATGAGACTTTGAGCTTTTGAGCTCCAGATTGATATGAGATTTTGAGATGTGTTTTCGGTGCTTATCTAGTAGGTTATCATATAGCACATACAATCAGGTATGTAGACGTCTATGGCCATAAGACATAGTTGATGATATTGATGACATACCCTCAGTTTCACTAGCCCGGGGCTAGTATCGGTGTGATATGTTATATGTACATGTTTCTTCTCTGGCGTAACTCAGAATCGTACAGCTTCACCTTCGGGTGTTAGACCCCCCATTTCTTCTCTGACGTAACTAAGAGTCGTATAGCTTTATCTTCGGGTGATGGACTCACTATATATACATATATATGTTATATCTTCTTCTCTGGCGTAACCCGAAGTCGTACAGCTTCACCTTTGGGTGATGGACCATGGTTTCTTCACTAGCGTAACCCAGTGTCGTGCAGCTTCACCTCTGGTGATGGTTATCCCTTCGGGCCACTATGATACCCTACAGAATTGATGAGATTTACAGATTTGCCTTCAGACGGCGATAACACCATTATTGAGTATTGTTTGACACGTATATGTTTTATGAACGTTTTCATGGCATGTAAAGTTTTTGAAAAACTACTATATAGTACTATATAGGTGTTTTCAAAACAGGGGGTTAATATGTTCATATATAAAATGGTTTTCGTATTATTAGTACTAGTATTATAAACTTTGGTCCACTCACCTTTTCGATTTTACGCCCCCTCAGGAGTTAGAGTTGAGGCACATGATCTTAGCATCAGGGCACTTCCACTTAAGCATCTTCGAGTCTCTTCTATGAAGGACCCATCCCTCGACTCGTATCTTTTTATAATAATTCTTTCACATTATTTTTTATTAGTTGTATACTCTGAACATAGTTCTGCATTAGTTTATTTCCTTCTACTCACATATTTTAATTTGCATGCATGTTAAAATGGCTTCGTCACCCTCGAGTGTTGGCCAGCAAGTGTCTATCCTGATACTTGGGATATAAGGATTGGGGTGTGTCAACACGGTTGAAAGAAAGAGAAATAAGAGGGAAAGAATAGGGAGAAAATAGTGAGAGTACAAAGTAAAAGAAATAAGAGGGAAAGAATAGGGAGAAAATAGTGAGAGTTATCTTTGTACTCCTTTATTCCATATTATAAATAAAACCACTACTACTATATCAACTACCAACCCTCATTTGAGAATTGAGCTCTCCAAGCGCATACGGACCGAGGAGGGGTTACAACATGATTTGTGAGTGGGTCTTTTCTTTGATATATACATATATATGTTTAGTTTCCATATTTACATATAATAAAGAATTTTCTATATGATTGTCTTAATTAAATTTACGGCTATGAAAAATATTACGTTGACTAGAATTATCAAATCACTGTGGCATGACTATATTTTTATCTACTCATCGCTTACTGCACCAGTGTTAGTACTCGCCCTGGGCCAGGGTCAAGCTTCACATCGTACCGTACACTCACCTTGGATCCATTGTAGGTGCCAATCCTGTCCTAGGTTGCAATAGGCAACTAAGACTTGTATATGCTGCGTATAGCGTTAGTCTTCACGTGATTGTAGTACTAGAGCGTATGTTTATATTATGATTACACCCAATCCTGTTCATGTTAGAATTTCTCTTAATGAACTCGTGTGTTAGCATAGATGGATGAGCAATTGATTTTATCGATGTGCACTTGATATGATATGTTTGCTTATGCCAGATTATGTGATTACGGATATCACGTGTTTATTTACGAATCTGTGACATATTGAATTCTTGAGATATTGCATGTACGGTAAGTATTACTATACGTAGTATGTATATTTTGGAAACTATACTTGTTTTACGGCGATGGGTTATAATGTGTTCAAAAAGTTTTCATAAAACTTTATTTTTAGGCCCACTTACACTTGTTTTTTGCCCCTCCAGGTTTAGTGGCTGAGATTTCGTGTTAACGAGAATTCTTGGCAAACTTTGGTTTAGGTGATTACCTTCGATGGTATAATTCTCATCCTATTTTCCTATACTTTACTTATGCTCCGACATCACGTGTGAAATAGGTTCATTCCCGCTCATAAGCACGCTCTTATATTTAAGCTCTTTTAGGTTTTAAATTTATTCACATTTTCCACATCACTACACTTTGTGGTTTCGTCACCCTCCTGTTGTTAGCCAGCGCAGCTCGATTCGGAGTCCAAGTGGACATCCCGGGTCGAGGTGTGTCAATATCGAAATATATTGTATAACAAAAATTAATTTAAATGTTTACAACAAAATATATTACGATGAATGAAATAAAAATTATAATTATAATGAAATATAATTAATACATTAAAATTAGGAAGAAAAAGAGAAAGAATTAAACCATCAAAATATAATTAAATAAAATGGGGTGATTAATGTATCAAATGATTAAAATTAGATTTTAATCTTACTCATGGTTTTAGTCTAAAAGTCATCTTTGCCAAGGATTAGAATGAAGTTTCCTAAAATTACAATAACAAAATATATTTTACTTAAATTATAACGCATATTTTTTCATATATGTTAAAAAGTGTGATATTCAATCATGTCACTTATTTATATTACATTATAGAAAATGATATATCACGTATCAAATATGTCAAACTCATTAAAATTACTCTACGTATCTCAATCGAAAATGTTTAATTAACTCGATCAATATACAAGTAGGGAGTTAAGTATTTGGGTCCTAGTCTTAAGCTAGCTCTTCTTATAATGATGGAAAATCATTCCTCATATAAAATTAAGTTCTAATCTTTCCGTGCCCACTTCCAAATCTTTTCAAGATGCCAAAAAATCATGTTGGAGGATCGAATTGGTCCCAAGAAGAGTATTAGACGACGGTAAAAACCCGTCATCCAGTATAGTCCCAAACTGTCGCTCCAAGGACAACCGGATAACAATTTTGTAGGTTTATTATAAAGAGTAATGCTAGGTAGACTAAATTTTTTAAACTAAATGATGTGGTTGTAGACGATTGAGTTATTAATTAAATGTCAATAAACGTGCTTGTTTCTAATTGGTGACATGTCATTGGTTCGCAATTTGGTTTAAAAAAAATTTGCCTCCCTAGCATTACTCTCTTATAAACCCCCATCCCAAAAGCAACCAGATGACGTTTTTGCGTAAAATCGTCGTCCCATCAACTAATATCAACAAAAAGTAGGTTTTCTGTAAGGGTAAGGCTGGGGAGACCAAATTCTTAAGCTATATTTTGTAAACCAAATAATGTGATTGTTGATGATTGGATACTATTACTTAAGTGTTGATTAACGTACTTATTTTTTACTAGTGACACATCATTTGATTTTCAAATTTGGTTTGAAATTTTAGTCTCCCTAGCATTATGTTTTCCTTAATCTCCTAGGCACAAAGACGACGAAAACCCCCTTTTTAATACCATGTCGTTTGAAGAGTAAAGGAATTAAGCACCACTTCATTACAAGATATTTGGAGTATTATGACTTACATATGTATCAACAAGAATATCTAATTTAATTGTTAAGCACATCAACTCTATTTTCCTTTAACAATACTTATATACGGATAGTTTCAAGCAAACCAAGCAAAGTTATGTACATTCGTGTCATTCGAATAATCCAATATTTAAATTCTCTCCACTAATTATGAGAAAATGTATACATGGGACTGATGAAAATGAGGACTACTCATTTGATTATTGTGTCCAAATTTTGAAAAAGGAAAAGAGAGATTACCTTCCATTGTGGTAGAGGGAGAGGAGCAGAGAGGCAGAGCATGCAAAGGAAGTTACAAGGATGAAATCAACCCAAAAACCCACAAATCTCATAACAAGCATTAAAAAGAACTAAAATTTTGAAAACAAAAGAGTAAAATTCACCTGCTGTTTTATGACCAAACGTAGTATGGGGTGTCTCGTCTAAGGTCTTTTTTTACTTTTAAATATATTGTTCTGTTTCTATAATAAGCGAGATCTAATAACCTTATCTGAGGAGACACTTAGTGACGCTTGCTCCTGTTTTATTTGAATGATGTGATGAAATGTTCTTTTTTTTTTTTTTTTTTTCTAAATTCTCAATTTAAAGATAGCTTCGTAACATTAGACAATCTTCCAATGAGAAATTTGAAGCAAGACGTTATTTTAAGAAAAGAGGTATTCATCAATTTCCCTCCTGAACTTGTGACTATTGGCCAATTTCCCCCCTCAACTTTAATTTTGGCCAATTTCCCCCCTCAACTCTCATAATTAGTCAATTTCCCCCCTCAACTTTAATTTGGCCAATTTCTCCCCGCAACTCTCATAATTAGTCAATTTGCACCCTACTGTTAATTTTTTAATTTGATCATAATTAAACAAGTGTGTGTAAGAAACTAAATAAGATGTATGTTAATCATTTTCCTATGTCTTTATCCTATTACAAATAGATTAAAATTTAGAATTTTACAATTTATCATAGATAATATTATTAGTCATAATAAATCAGTATGGAGTAATTTTATTTGATTTTTTACTATACAAAATTGATAACGAAAAGGATTGATGTGTACATTTTTGTATGTGAATACAATTTTCTATATAAAAGTGAAAGCTAAGTTCAAGTAAATTGCGGAGAATCGAGCTTTAGTGCAAAAATGGCTAGTCAATTCATAATTTTCGACTCCTTATTAAGAATAACCCATTTTATTGAAATAGGTCTGATCCATGAGTTTATGATTATTATTTCTTCTTCTACATGCTTTAAACCCGGTTCATAACTTTTTCTTATAATCAACCCATATCACATACTAATTGTATTATGTTTTTGTACATTTTACCCTATAGTATGCATGTGAGTTTATGTTAATTTTAGTACTTTGTTGGAAGTTATTAGAAAGATTAAAAGGTCGTACCCAGTGCACAAGGCTCCCGCTTTACGCAGGGTCTGAGAGAGGTAAATATCGGCTAGCCTTACCCCTATTTATGCAGAGGATGCTCCCAAGTCTCGAACCTGAGACCTACCGCTCATGGGTGAAGGCACTTGCCATCGCACCAAGTGCGACCTCCAAGTTATTAGAAAGATTGAAAGAAAAAAAAAAAGAATAGATGGAAAATTTTAAAAAATTAACAATAGGGTGCAAATTGACTAATTATGAGAGTTGAGGGGGGAAATTGGCCAAATTATAGTTGAGGGGGGAAATTGACTAATTATGAAAGTTGAGGGGGGAAATTGGCCAATGGTCACAAGTTCAGAGGGGGAATTGATGAATACCTCTTAAGAAAATACTAAATTGAAAAGCTGACAACCATTTATTTGAGTTGTTAAATAGTTTTAAATTGAATTAATTTTTTTGTAAGGATATGATCTTTAAAGAAAGATAAACAACCAGACGACTCGTATTATTATGTAATCGTTGTATAAAAGTAAAAAATAAAAATAAAAATCTTACATATTATACATACATACATACATACATATATATGTGTGTGTGTGTGTGTTTATGTATATGTAAGCGCCAAAGACAACTAGAAAAATAAGGATCCCATATGCATACTGAATGTAACCACGTTTTCTTGTGATATCCACGAGAAGTCTCGGTCAAGCTGCCAAAATTGATAGTTGCTGCCAATTTGGGTAGAGTCACTGGTCATGAAGCCAGTGGATCCGTACATTCTGTGTTGCTGGTTCTTGGGCGTCAAGTGTACTCTCAATTTATTGAATCTTATCTTTTCTTTTCTTTTTGGTCATTATTGAATGTTATCTCAATGAGTAATATCTAGCACTTGCTCCGATCAATCCATTCTATACACAAAACGGTTGATATATAGTTTAATTTCTTTTTTAAATTATTTTAAAGATTTAACTATACGTGGTTTATAAAATCTAATCTAAATTTGATGATATTCTTAATATCTTCTTAGATATACTACGTATGACACTGATATATAAATCTTATATGATGTTAAGGAGAAATATATTGATGCTATGGATACATGGGTCATTATCGTGGTATTTTGTGTTAATAATATAAATATACGTTATAAATTTTTGTTCACATGATATCGTATTATTAATACAGAACGACAATATATTCAGTATTGTGTAAGTTAGACCTCGAAACTGGGAGCTGTATGCATGTTATATGTAAGAGATTTGGGGCACGGAAGAATGTACAACTTGTACTTCTTTTAATTGGGAAAGCATTAAAGTTTAGTGAACTTGAATACAGAGTTGAATTTTTCAGTATTAATACCGACCGGGACTGTTCTGTCGGTATCAACTTCTGCTTGTGTGAATCAATTTGTTCTTCCATTCAACATTATCCATTTCAATAAAATAATTTCTTTTCTTTTTTTGGACAAACTGCAATACTTTTCCATTAAACAAAGAGACTAATATAAGAAAAAGAGAGCCCAAAAGGCATCTCACAACTGAAATACAAGCTTAATGGAAAAGAGTAAATACAGCACAAAGCCCAAAAGGCATAACAAAAAAGAAACAAAAACCATAAAAGTAAAGAGGAAACCAGCATCCTGTTAACAATAGCTATGGAATCTGAAAGATCAGGAAAGACTAGAGAGAGAAAGAGAGAAAGCTCAGAAAGAGAGGGAAAATTGTAACTGATTTTTTATTTCTTCAGTTCACATCTATTACAAGAGATATTTCACTATAAATACTTGTCAACCTATCTATCTCAACTCATATAATCCAATGACACATGTCACAATCTTGACCACTAATATACTCTAACATTCCCCCTCAATCTTATGTCTTAGGTAAACCAAGCATAAGATTGGAACAATGAGTGGTAAACAAAGGGGAACATAAACCCTTGGTGAAAATATCGGCAAATTGAGCTTGGGAAGCAACAAATTGCAGAGATATAACACCTTGTTGAACCCTTTCCCGCACAAAGTGACAATCCACCTCGATGTGTTTGGCTTTAGAATGCAAAACCGGATTGGTAGCCAAAGCCATAGCAGAGACATTGTCACAATGTAAACTGGGAGGAGAGGAAATGTCAAGATGAAGATCCTTCAAAAGTTGTTGAAGCCAAACAACTTCGGCAGTGGTAGTGGCCATAGCCCTGTATTCAGCCTCTGTCGATGACCGACTAACAGTATGTTGTTTCTTAGAGCTCCAAGAAATGGGATTAGAGCCGAAAAAGACAACAAAACCTGTAGTAGACCGCCTATCGTTGGGATCACCAGCCCAATCAGCATCTGTGTAAGCTCGTAAGCACAGGGAACCAGGTTGAAAAAAGATGCCCCAGCCAATAGTACCACGGAGATATCGAAGAATCCGCTTGACAGCAACATAATGAGAGTCCAGAGGAGAATGCATAAATTGGCACACTTGATTCACAGAATAGGCAATATCGGGCCGTGTAAATGTTAAGTATTGAAGTGCTCTGACAATGCTCCTGTAATGTGTGGGATCGGAATAACTAGGACTGCCATGTGTGAGAAGTTTCTGATTAGGATGACAGGGTGTGAGACATGGTTTACACTCGAGCATATTCGACCGTTGCAACAGATCATGAACATATTTAGACTGATGCACAAATAAGCCCGAAGAGTGATAGTCAATTTGCAAGCCAAGAAAATAATGAAGAATCCCCAAATCCTTCATGTCAAACTCGGTGGTTAACTGAGAGATAATAGACTGAACACAAGCATCACTATCACCAGTAAGTATGATGTCATCCACATATAACAGTAACACAACCATGTTGGTACCATTATGTTGAACAAACATGGAAGGATCGGCATAAGAAGACTTAAACCCCAATGAGAGTAAGAAAGTAGTGAACCTGTCATTCCAAGCTCGGGGAGCTTGTTTGAGTCCATAAAGTGACCTTTGTAATTTGCAAACATAGTCGGGATGAGCCTTGTTAACAAAACCCTGTGGCTGGGACATATACACCTCCTCCTCAAGAAAGCCATGTAAAAAGGCATTCTTGACATCAAGTTGTTTCAGTTTCCATCCTTGAGTGGCTGCAAGAGAGAGAATAAGGCGCACAGTAGTAGGCTTCACCACCGGACTGAATGTTTCGTAATAATCCAACCCAGCTTCTTGAGAAAACCCCTTGGCCACCAAACGAGCCTTATATCTAGCAACTGACCCATCAGGATGGCGTTTGACTTTGTAAATCCATTTACAACCCACCAAATTTTTATTTGGTGGCAATGGAACAAGGTGCCAGGTATGTTGCTGTAGTAAGGCATTCATTTCCTCCTGCATAGCAAGCTGCCACTGTGGAGACTTAGAAGCTGCAGAGTAAGATGTCGGTTCTTTAACAGAATCAAGATGAATGGTAGTATGATACACCTTCTTCTT